GGGGGGGGGGAGGCGGGAACAGAAAGAAGTACAGGGACATGGATTGCACTGCCACCACAGGGAGGCTGAGGATGGCCTCCAGGAAACATCTGTGTGTAGGACAAATACAGGGCACCCCCAGCCCAGGGTGCAAGCCTGAGGGAGTATTGGAAAGCCTGGATTAATGAGGGCCTGCTGCAAACTCTGCCATTTCAGGAACCAGATGGGGATGCTTCTCCAGGTTTCAGAAACAGTGTTTCCAGGTGGGACAAGGATCACTATGCGTATCCACACTCAATCGCCAGTTGCCAAAGCACTTTCATACGTGGTTTCATCCTGAACGGGAGCCTTGTACCAACCCTTAGAAGTATGTGGCCAGATCCTACTACTATCCTCATTTCATGGACAGGAAAATTGAGCCTTGGAGCTTCCTCGGCGTCACGTAGGTTGGAGGGATGGAACTGAGACTTGAACCCAGACTTCTGACTGAATATCCCTGCTTCCAACATCCCCCATCCCTGCCCAACCCCGCACTGGAAGGCAGAGAGGCTGCATAGCCACCAGACCAAAAATGGGCCCTGCTGATGTCCAAGGCACACTGTGGTTTTAGGAGCCCTGGGTCTTGTGGAGGGGCTACTCCTGGAGGGTACTAATGCCTCAGGCCTGGGCTGAGTCAGAGCTGGGCATCAAACATCCTCTGGCCTGCAGGACCAAACCTCTACTCTCCTTGAAAGAGACCACCCTCACTCTAACGCAGAACAGGATTAAGACACCACACCAGGGACTCGCACCCTCACTCCCAGTTCTGGAACTAATCCTTCCAGACACTCCCTTTATTCTGTAACCTGTTTTGGTTGTCCCTACAAGTGCCTAAGCCAGGCAGAAGATTCCATTTTGTGGCTGAGCTTTCTACTTTTTGGATTCATTTTTCTTCAGCTAATTTGGACTGAGAGAATGGTTATTTCTTCTATAATAAGTACCAGACTGTAGCCTGATGTTAAGAGTTCTCACCTGACATTTTTGTGGGTTTAACTCAACTTTTTCCCTCTTACATTCACTTCTCTTCTGGGTTCTGGAATAGAGGGGAAAACTAAACTTCACAGGTGTGCGAGTCAAATGTGAGAATGAGAAAACCGAAGGCCCACTCTCTTTTCAGGTGCTCAGCCCTTCTGGCAGCCTTCCTATCCCTGCACCCTCCCTTGTGCTCAATAAACCTGCTGATCACAGGGCACCTGGCCAAGAGGGGGCCTTGCTGCTGGTATGGGTGTTCAGGAGTGCCTAGGCTCAGCTCTGTTATGGGGAAGGTGGATGGGGCCTTGCAGACAAAGCGATTGGGTGCAGGCTCCATCTGGGAAAGGCTTTCAAGCTTTGGTGTGAGCTCCTGCTTCTAGAGCTTCTCCCCAGCATGGATTTTCTGATGCCGAATAAGGTGTGAGCTCCCCCTGAAGGACTTGCCACATCTGTTACACTCATAGGGTTTCTCTCTAGTGTGGGTTTTATAATGTTCGATAAGGGCCGACCTGTGCCGGAAGGCTTTGCCACACTCATTGCATGCATAGGGTTTCTTCCCGGTGTGGATTCTCTGGTGCTGAATCAGTGCGGAGCTGTGGCAGAAGGCCTTTCCACACTGGCTGCACTCGTAAGGCTTCTCTCCAGTGTGAATCCGCTGGTGCTCGATGAGGGAGGAACTCTGGCTGAAGGCTTTCCCACACTTATGGCATTTATAGGGTTTCTCACCCGTGTGGGTCTTCCGATGCTCAATGAGGTTGGAGCTCTGACTGAAGGCCTTCCCACACTCTTCGCATTTGTACGGCTTCTTCCCAGTGTGAATCCTCTGGTGCCGAATGAGGTGGGACCTGTGGCAAAAGGCCTTCCCACAGAGATCGCATTCATGAGGTTTCTTTAGGGTGTGGATTTTCCGATGCTGGCTCAGGCCTGAACTCTGGTTGAAGGATTTTCCACATTCCTTACACTGATAAGGTTTCTCTCCAGTATGAATTCTCTCATGTTTTCTCAGACTTGAGCTCCTACTGAAATCTTTCCCACACTCCCTACACTCATAGGGTCTCTTCCCAGTGTGGGTTTTCTGATGTTGCGTAAGGGCCGAGCTCTGGCGAAAGGCTTTTCCACATTCTGGGCATTCATAGGGCTTCTCTCCGGTATGGATTATCTGATGTCTGAGAAGGTGCGAACTCTGGCTGAAGGCCTTCCCACACTCACAGCACTCATAGGGCTTCTCCCCAGTGTGGATCACCAGGTGTCTAAGAAGGTGCGAGCTCTGGCTGAAGGCCTTCCCACATTCCCGGCATGCATAGGGTTTTGGTGGCTGTGCAGTTCTGTGAGGTTCATTTGGTCCCAAGTCCCCCCTGCCCACTAGCTCACAGTCGTGTTTACTGGGTTCTTCTCCACCACGGATTAACTGACACATACTAAGGTCTGATTTCTGGAGAAAGGTTTGGCCAAATATTTCATCATCCTGGGGTTTGTTTACTTGGGGGATACTCTGATGCTGAACAGGGCTTGAGCAAAGACTGAAATTCCCCTCATAATCATCATGTCCCTCGCTTGGCTCCCCAAGAGGGATCTCCTTATAGATAACAGCCATCTGCTCTAAGCCTCTTTCCTGAAGAAATGAGTCTCCCAGGTCCTCCTCTGGGAACAGCTGTTGCATCTCTAACCCATCTTCAAACACAAAGGTCTCACCAAGCTTGGATGCTGGGGGAACCTCCATTGTGGACCTAGTATCAGTATACCCCCAATGACTGTATTTCTTGCAAGATGTTCTTCTTTGGGACACACTTACTGTTCTTACAATCTGAAAAGAAAACAAGGGACATTGTCAAGCCGGCAAGTCAAGCACCTAGTATGTGCCTCCGTCCTGTGCCAGGATGAATGGTAGATATAGCAAAATAAGTATAAGATAAACTTGGCCCTGGCCAGTGTTGCTCAGTGGTTAGAGCATCGGCCCTTGCACTTAAGGGCTGAAGGTTCGATTCCTGACCAAGGGCATGTACCTGGGTTGCAGGTTTGATCCCTGGCCCAGTCAGGGCACGTGTAGGAGGCAACCAATTGATGTGGCTCTCTCACATGGGTGTTTCTCTCTCTCTCCCTCTCTCTCTCTCTCTCCCTCCCCCCTCCCTCCCTTCCACTCTCAATAAAAATTTTAAAAAATCAATGGAAAAAATATTCTCGGGTGAGGATTAACCAAAAAAGACACACTCTTGCCCTTGAGATGATCCTCACTGAGTTAGACAGAAGTTTGGTTTATCAGAAACAACTGCAAGAAAGAAATAGAATCAAGCACCACACCATGGTGTCTAGACTCTAAAGGCTGAGGTTCAGAAAGCTGGGCTGGAACAAGAAATGGAGCCATATGGAAAAGGCCCAATGCTCCACCTACTGGAGGATGCTAGGGATTGGGCTTTGCTGGGAAAAAGAGAAAGCACACTTTTTGCCTTCTGGTCCCAGCCACAATGCTGGGAGTCAGCCTAGACCTTCTTCCTCATATCCTGTCCTGTCCATTTCCTGAGGCTTTATTGAAGGGGTCTCTCTGTCCTTGCTGCCACTCTGTGGCTCAGGCCTCAGTGCAAATCCTCCGGATTATTTCAATACTCACCTCCCAAATGGCCGCCTACCTCCAACTTCTGCTCCTCCCTCTAGTCCATTCTCTACATTGACACCAGTGTGAAATACCCAAAACACAGGCCTAATCGTGTCATTTCTCCTCTTAGGATCTTGTGACAGCTCAACTCCTTCAAGGCCCTTCATGCATGCCCTTCCAGCCCATCTCCTGCCTCTCCTTTCATACACCCCTAACCTTCCAGCTCAATAACTCACTTGTGCTGCTGTTTCCTCTGCCTACCAGGTCCCTCCCCCTGCTCAGACTGCCACTGGCTCATCCTTCCAGACTCAGTCCAAATGCCCCTCTTCTGATGATGTCAGGTGTCCTCAGTGACCCACGGAGCTTGGTGCACACATCCATCAAGCACTCACCACCCTGGAGAGTAAACATGGGTTGACGGGACTCTCCCCACCACTGCCTGCAAGCTCCCTATGGGAAAGTCCTGTGCTCCTTCATTTTGGAAGTCCCAGTCCCCAGCACAACAGGACAATCTCTATACATACATTTGTTGAATTAATACATAATTGAATCGAGGAAAAGCCATCTGTGCTAGAACTGATTGTCACACTTGAACTCTTTGTTCAAAAAAATCAATTCTCTGGGTGATATAAACAAAACAGACAAAAGCATGACTACACCAGTTGAAGGAAGGTATTTCTATAGGAACAAAGGAAACTAGAACACTCCCACTCAGCCCCTCATCCCACTATGGTGGCCCCTGAGGAAGCCTCTCAGAGTCCCATTTGGAAACTTCTGTGCAGCTAAAGGGAAACTCCCCAGGTACCATGATAACAGCTCATGTTTATTGAGCATTTGCTCTGCTAGACCTTTTACAGGCGTATCTCATCTGAGCCTCACAATTCTGTACAAAGATACTATTATTATCCTTACCCTGAAGCTTACAGTAATTAGCTCAAAAAATATATTAATCAGAACAGTCACAATGGAATCCATTTCTATTTGGAAATCTTTTCTTAATGAATTTTCAGCCACTTAAATGCATTTTCTTTGCTCACTTTACCTTCTCTTACCCTCTGCTTCAGCAACTATAATCTCCAGTCCTTCTAGTTCTCTCACTCAACCTCATCAATTCTAAGTCCTGGTTTTCCTCTTCTAGTTCTGCCCACTCCCATCTAGCTTAGACCACTTCTATCTATAGGGGGTCTAACTATAGACATCACTTCAGCTAACTCTCTGACCAGCATCACATTCCTCAACTCCTTGCCCTGCTGCAACTGGCTGCTAATTCCTTCTCTGCCAATTCCTCCTAAAATGTTAAATGTTGCCAAGGAAAATCATACGACTGTGTATGGCACCGAGACAGATTTCAAGTTTCCAATTTCGGCTGGGACTTCAGCACTCAGCTCCAGCATCCAATGACCTCCTTACTGCCAATCCCTCTCTACTCTGTGCTCACTTCCCCTCCCCTTCTGGCACTGCTTACCAATACCTTCTTCTCAAAACCCTTCATTTTAGAGAATGCAAATTGGCAGCCTGGGGATCCTGCCATAGACACGTTTTGTCTGGCTCTCAAAAGAGTTGGGCTTTTCCTCTTTGTTTGACTTAGCTGCCATTATGGAAAACTCAGTAGGTTTCTGGCCTTCTCTTGAAAAACTAGATGTGACAATACGGGCCCATCCCTTCACTAAACCCTCCTTGCTTACCTGGACACCTCAAAGCTTTGAGCTTGCTGGACAAATCATCCCCACTCCCACACTCCCCTTTATTGCCTTGGTTCTGAAAGCCCCCCTCCCCCGCCCCGCCCCAATTTTCATGCCCTGGGATCCCTCCCTCTTGGTATCTGTGGATTGCAACTCTTCTTCCACCCACCTGTTAAATCCTGGTGTTTCCACGGTTTCCTCCTTAGGAGTTTTCCATTCCCACTATGTACCACCTACACACTGAAGTCTCCACTCTGTTTAAAAAGTTGGCAATCCTCTATCTGTCCCCAACGTTTTAAACGTTTTTGGACCAAAAAGCCAAAAGTATGGAACCCCATGCTTCCCACCTCTCTCGGGGCCTTCCCCGGCTCCTCTTGCACTCGTGACCCCACCCTCCCAGGAGCCCACGGGGCCTGGCACCCGGCAGACACTGGGTCAGGTCAGGGTTTCCTGGCTGGAGGCCCGCGAGCGGCCGCGGACGTGCACACGCCGGCCGGGCGGCGATGCCTGTGCCCCAACATGCTTCCCACCTGTGGGGACGCCTACATCCCTGACCACCGGAGGGACAGGTGGGCACATTGCCTGACGCGAAGCCACTCACCTGGGCAGGGGCGGAGCCGCTCACCTGGGCCGGGGCGGGGCCGCGGGAGGCCGGGGCGGGGCCGCACCTGAGCTGCTCCAACCCGCGGCCGATCCGGCTTCGCTCCCCAGCGGCTGCTGACGCGGAGCCCGCGGCGGCCCGGGAGCCCGGAGCCCCGCCCCGCCACCCGTGGGCACTTCCGGGACTGCTCTAGGCCGCGCGGAGGTCCTCGCGTCTCGGTAGCCCCGCCGCGCTTAGTGTCCAGGCGCGTAGCCGCCCGGCTCCGAGGCTCAAGGACTTGGATCAGGAGAGCCTCTCCAGTCCGACGCAGTGGTTCTGGGCTGACCCCAAAGTGCATCCCGGCTGGGAGGAAAGCAGAGCTGGACAGGCGTTGGCGGGAGTGCAGAGGAGGAAACTGAGGCAGGGAGGGGCAGGCGGGCCTAGAGCCGCAAGCTGGAGGCCCAGTTCCCCCTGCACTTGCCCTGGGGGTGGCGGCAAGCCGGGGGCCGCCGGGGCGTCTGGGGTCTTTAAGAGAAGGAGAAAGGGATCCCAGAGTGGAGCCCATCAGCTCTCATAGGCCCGGGAGCCCTGTCCGGATTCGCCCTCCCTTCCGGGTCCTGCCCGCCCAGCCCCCAGAGACGCGGAGGAGAGGAAGGGTCTGCCCACCCCGCAGGTGGCGCGAGTACAGGCCCGACGTCGCTGGACTCAGTGCATTTGAGGGACGACCTCCGGGCGTGAGGCGCCTCCCAGGGGAACCGGGAGGGAAGAAGGGTGTGTTCTTGAACCGCCCACCCCTACCCCACTCGCAGACGCTCAGCTCTGCTTCTGATGACAAGACTTGCCCCTCCCCCAATGGTTCCCCCCGGGCCCACCTGCCTGGGGGAGAGCCTGGGGCGGGGCGGTGGTGGCACAGCCCCCATGGGAGACCCGCAGAACACGTGTTCCTGAGAGGGGGAATGCTGTCCCCTCAGCCAGTCCCTGCCATCTGCCCACCTGCCTTCAGCACCCTCCACCCTGGCCCTCAGGTGCCTCTGAGGGACTCACACTCACACACACACACACACACACACTTACACCTGCCTCCCTGCCCCATCAAGGAGTAGGCAGGGACTGTCCCCTACCCACCAGCCTGGATTCCATGGGGATCCAGTTGTCACCCAGTGAGCATTGGACCACAGCCAGCCATGCAGAGCTGGTAGTGGTAAGGGCTGGTTCCTTTTTTTTCTCCCTCCAGCTCCTTGGGTCACAGGAAGGCCAGGCCACCAGTCTGAACCCCCTGGGAGCCAGTGAAGGGGCAAGGCCCAGTCCCAAGGGTCTCAGGTGCTTCCTCTTGTGCACCAATCCCCAGAATCCCTACCTCCCCTCCACCCTCCCAGATCAACCACAGTCACTTTTTCTCGTAGTCTTCAGAATAGTTATTGTTGACATGTTGGGTATTATTAGCCCATTTTACAGAGGAGGAAAATAAAGGCTGAGAGAAAGAGAGGGGCCTAAGGTCAAGGACAGAAGTGGGAGACAGACAGGAGGCATTCATCCCACCTCCCACATCCCATCCCTAAGATATGAAGGCCACAGAGCAGTAATAATCTGCATCGTCCTCAGGCTGCACGGGGCTGATGATCAGGATGCAGGCATTTTTGGCTGCATCTGTGGCTGCTGAGAAGCGGTCAGGGATGTCTGGGGAGCGGCGGTAATCCTCTTCTGAGCGGTAGTAGAGGAGATAGCGGGGGGCACTTCCTGCCCGCTGCTGGTACCAAGACACACCATATTCCCCAACGGTGCCATGGCGGGGGCTGAGCATGCAGGAGATTTGGACCACTTGGCCTGGGAAGACCAACAATGCGTCTGGCTGTGTCAGGACTGGCTGGGAGACTGAGAGAGACAGATCTGGCTCAGGCCTGGCCTGGGCCCCTTTTCTCCCACCCTGGCTTCATGACTCCCAAACGACTCCTGTTCCTAAAGGGCTCATGGCCTGGTGCCATGCGATCGGAACTGGATGGGGTACTGAGCTGGTGACTCCTAAGTCCCCATTAGTGCCATGTTCCCAAGGATCTGTGTTCACTTGAGGGCCTCGAGGGACTGATGGCCTCTGGTTCCTTCTGTTGCCCACCCCACTCCTTGCCCTAAAGATCCCTATCTATCCCCTCTGTCACACTAGCTCTTCCAGACCCTGGCCACAGAACAACCACCTCCAGGAAGCTCCCTGAACTGTACCACCCATCAGCTCAGCCTCAGGCAACTGGATGCTGAGGACCTTCTTAGAAGTAGGTTTTTTCCAAGACTGTGAAGTAGAGATTAGCCCACACCAGCTTCCCCTGTGACAACTCAAAAGGTGACCAGCTCTAGACCCTTCTAATACCCTGAAGCAGGGGTAGGGAATGTCTGGCCCACAGTCCATATCATTCAGTATGACCCAGCCAAGGCATCCGCAGGTAGGACTTGAAATTCACTAAATCTAGGACTTTTTTTACAGCTAATTTTTAAGTTGATAATTTTGTATGGCCCTTGAATGATGTTATAAATACCCAAATGGCCCTTGGCAGAAAAAATGTTCCCCACCCCTGCCTCAAAGAGTCAAAGTTCAAAGGGACACTAGTGATCTGGTTAATCAGAAATAAGAGAAACTGAGGCCCACATGGAGAAATTACTTACCCCAAGTTTAGGGCGCAGTCATCTCTCTGTAACCAGTTCTCCCCTTCACCTCAATGCCCCTTCTAGAACCCTACCACTGCTCATATCAATTTGCTTTCTTGCAGAGGCCTTCTGGAGCCAGTGCTGTTCCCTACCCCACCCAGATGAGCCAGGCCCAGGGATGGCTCACCTGCCAGGAGGGCTCCAATGAGAAGGAGAGCCAGGCGCCACCAGGCCATGGCCAGCAGCAGGGAGGCAGGCGGGAGCTGTTCTGTTGGGTGTGCTCCAGGTGCCTCAGGGCACTGGCAGGGGAGGCTACTGGACCACGACAGGACATGCAAATCAGCCCATTGATTAGTGGGGGAAGGCAGTGGCTGGGGCCCAACTGCCAAGTCCCATCTTCCCAAATGTGAAAGTCCTGACCCCCCTGCCCCAGAGCCTTCTGAGAACAGGAGCTGAAATCCACACATGCATTATAGCAGGGGGCTGCTTTTACATTGAGGTATAACTCACATCTAAGAAAGTGCCCAAATCTTAAGTATGGCTCAATGATTTTCTATCTATCTATCATCTATCTATCTATCTATCTATCTATCTACCTATCATCTATCATCTATCTATCATCTATCATCTATCTACACACACACACACACACACACACACACCTGCAACCTCTACCCAGATCAAGATTTAGAACATTTCTATCTCCCCAGAAGACTCCCTCATTCCCCCCACCCCTCTCTATCCCTAATGGTAACCATCATTCTGATTTCTATCACTTAGATCAGTATTGCCTGCTCTAGAACTTTTAAAATTTTTTTAATAAACTTATTGATTGACTTTAGAGAGAGAGGGGGGAAAGGAGAGGAAGAGAGACAGAGATAGAAACATTGATTTGTTGTTCCACTTATTTATGCATTCATTGATTGATACTTGTACGTGCCCTGACTGGGTTCGATACTGTATGATTCTCTTTATAGGACATTATGGAAAAGGCAGTGGTTGCCAGGGGCTGGAGTCAACTACAAAGGGGCATAAAGAAATGTGGGGAAGTGATGGAAATGTTCTGCATCCTGACTGTGGTGGTGGTTATATGAGACTTGTCAAAACTCAAAACACTAAAAAGGGTAAGTTTTACTGTATGTAAATTTTACCTCAATAAATTTAACTAAAAAAAGAAAAAAAGAAACAAGAACAGAAAAAAAGAGGGGAGACTGGGATTGAGGAGTAAGGCAGTGGGAGAGGAAAGGATGTGAGCACAGGGAAGGGAGCCTTGAGTTGGAGGGGAGCCTGCAAGTTTGGTGAGGATCCCATGCTTTGGCCCAGGCCCCTGGCCAGCTGCCAGCTCACAGTGGGCTTTTACCAACCCTCATGAACTTCCCCTACGTTCAGTCTGGGAGCTCAGTTTCTACTGGTAGGAAAATGTGGTCTCTGGACATCCCTGGAAACCAAGGCTCCAGGCCCCACTATAGCCTTGCCTCGGATCCGTTACCAGGACACTGAAGGGAAGGCATTTCCTGCCTGGAGGTCTTGGCAGCTCCTACTGCCATGGAGACCAGCTTGAAGCTGGGCGGGCCTCAGTCTCCTCCCCATACTCTGGCCCAGCCAGCAGGAGGAAGAGGAGACCAGGGGTCCTGGACAACTGCAGGAGCCCAGCTCCAGGATGGCCAAGTAGGGACCTCAGCCTGGGTCCACCTACCTATCACCCAGCGCCCCGCCCCTACATACATACATCTCCCAGCAGGGCCCGAACCCTGGCTAGATCTCAGTCCCAGTTCCTTCCTTGGTCGAAGTCAGGCACCAAAGCCCCTACATCTGTCTCCTCTCCTCTGCCACCATGTTTATCACAGTGATGTTTGGAGGTAAGTAGGGTCCCATCCCAGTGGAAGGGTTGGGGAATGGTACACTCAGCTTGCTTTCCTCTGCCCTGGGGAGAGGGGGAGGCAGTGTGGGGAAGGGGATGGGAGGTTTGGGGAAACAGCTCTCTGAGGAAGCAGAGCTAGTGCCTGGAGTGAGTCCCTAGAGGGAAAAACCCTGGCTGGGTACCAGGAAATTCACATGGCCCCTCTCCTAGAGCACCTGCCATGCTACCACGGAGGACGTTTTTAAACTGCATGATCTCTTTTTTTTAAATCCTCCCCCGAGGATATTTTTTTCATTGCTTTTCAGAAAGAGTGGAAGGGAGAGAGAAACATTGATGTGAGAGAGACACATTGATTGGTTGCCTCCAGCTCTAGCCCTGACTGGGGCCAGGGATTGAGCCTGAAACCAAGGTACTTGCCCTTGACTGGAATCGAACCCAAAACCCTTCAGGCCACAGGTCGATGCTCTAACCATTGAGCCACACCAGCTAGGGCTAAACTGGGTGATCTCTTGGCTATTGATTCAGTCAGTGGTCCTCAAGATCAGGATGTATCAGGCACCTGAAGCTCTAGACACAGTTGCGATTCCTGACCCTCTGGTGGGAGGGGGTCCATTGTGGGAGGGGGGCTGGTGCAAGAGGTTGTCTAGTGCAGGAGCCATGAGTTGTGCACCCGTCACTAACATCTCCGGAGATGGGGGGGATGGTAACAGCCCTAGTTCCACAGCCCTAGTCCCTGCTCTGGCTAAGAGATGGGAGAACCATGCCCGGTTGGCACAGATCAGTGGTTGAGTATTGACCTATGAACCAGAAGGTCACGGTTCTATTCCTGGTCAGGGCACATGCCCAGGCTGCAGCTTGATCCCCAGTGTGGGGCGTGCAGGAAGCAGCTGATCGATGACTCTCTCCTCATTGAAGTTTCTGTCTCTCTCTCCCTCTCCCTTCCTTCCTCTGAAATCAATAAAAACATATTTTTAAAAAAGAGAGATGGGAGAGCCACTATGCAGTACACCTGAAACTAACACAAAATAATATTGAATGTAAACTGTAATTAAAAAAAAAAAAAAGTAACTGCTTAGTGGGTATGTTGTTTATTTTCGGGGGGTCATGAAAATATTCTAGATATAGAGATGCCCTGGCTGGTGTGGCTCAGTTGGTTGGAACGTCTTCCCGTGTACCAAAAGGTTGCCAGTTTGATTCCCGGTCAGGGCACATAGTTGTCGGTTTGATCCCCAGTTGGGGAATCGGGAAGCAGCCAATCTATGTTTCTCTTATACATCAATTTTTCTGTCTCTCTTTCTCCCCCTTCCTCTCTCTCTAAAGTCAGTAAAACATATCCTCGGGTAAGGATTGAAAAGAAATAGAGGTGATGGTTGTACAACTCTCTGAATGTACTAAATGCCACTGAATCATACACTTTGGTTACAATGGTGGATTTTGTTATGTAAATTTTACCTCAATAAAAAAAACCCACTTAAAAATAAAAAAAGAGATGGGAGAGGCAGAGGGTCCCAGATAGGGGGAAATAGAGGGTCCCATTCACTCACCTCTGCTCCTCCCCCACAGCTGGCTGCTGGGAGCTGGTGAACACGTGGTGCAGCTTGGTGACTCTCACTGCCCACCTAAGGCAGAGGGGGCGGGTGCCTCCAGATGGTGAGGGGACAAGGAGGGATGATGGGGTGGAGGTGCAGGGCTGCAGGCATGGGTACCAGCCTTGCCCTGCCTCCTTCCCTGCCCTCCCAGCAACCATCGCTCTCCTGGCTGAGGATGGGCACCTGGTGAGCCTGGGCAAAGACCTGGAGAAGGGGGCTTCTCAGGGTCCCTCCACAGGCAGCCCCCTGATGCAGGAGCGTGGGACCTATGTCCTCGTGCAGGTCATCAGTAAGTGGGGCCCAAGACTTGCTCCCCTCCTCCCACAGTTATTTTGGAATGTAAGAAGGATACAGCAGTCCAGAGACCACCCAAGGCCCTACCCAGCTCCCCACTTTGGCCAGAACCTAGCCTTGACCCTTGTATCCAATGGCCTGTCCTGACCCCAGCCTGAGCCAGCAAACGGGTCCAGAATAAGTAGGGGCCAGTCAGGAGTCATTCTTCCTCCCTCCACAGATGGGGAGGGAGGGGCCCCCACTCGCTATGAGTCCCTACTGGAAAACCTGGATGACCGGTGTCCAGAGCTGGCAGGTGAGTGTCACGGTAGAGCCCTGGGATAGGGAGGGAACATCTTCTCCCCAGCCCTGATAGGCAGGGCTTCCTGGGCTTCTAGAGGAGCTGCGTTGGCTGTCAGGTCTACCCTCAATGGGCAGCCGGAGGAGACGTACTGGCACTCGGCGTAGCCACCAGCAGCAAGGCCCTCCTTTAAGGCCCCAAAGGCTGGGCTCCCTACTGTCCAGGACCCGCTAGCTGGGGCCAGGAGCCAGGTAAGGAGGAGACATGGATACCTGGGGGGAGATTCACATCCAGAAGTGGGACCCTTTTGCAGGAGACAGACACTCATGTACTGAGAGAGGTGGGCAGGCCCCCAATGTCAACCCTCATCACACACACACACACACACACACACACACACACACACACACACACACACACATACCTGAAAGATGGAACACACTGTACTCAGAGACAGGTGCCTACCACCCGGCTGGAGTGTTAAGTGCCCAAGGGTAAGAACATCCTCAGTGCCCAGGAAATGTGGCACAGGGCCTGGCATTCAGTAAATGCTCTACGCAGAGTTGCTAAATGAACTCAATGAAGGCAATAGCACAGCCCATGTGATGGGGCTTGTGCTAGGTGTGAAGGACCTGCTCCTCTGTTACAGCAGGCCCCGTGACTGGGCACACCACAACCTAGTGGCCAAGCTGGACTCAGATCCAAGGGGTTTGGCAGTGACCTCTGCCTGTGTGATCAGGCCCAAACAGACAGCGACCCAGCAGCATTCCTCTTACGAAATCTGGAATTATTGAGTTGTATCAACAAGAGGGCAAGGTCACAGACAGGATGTGAGGCCACTGGGGACCTCTAAGATGTGGGTGCAGGGAAGGGGATCTAGAGGCAGAGGCAAGAAAGATAGAGGGAGCAGGCGTCCCTGAGAGGGGAGACAACTGGGAATTCCAGCTCCCAAGTCAGATGCCCCAGAAGTCACCTGCTAATGCCTCACCACCCACTTTGACTGCCCAAGGCTGTGATTACAACAAGGCTCCTCCCTTTTCCCCCAGGAGAAGAGCTTAAGGTGAATCATCCATACCACCTCTTCAACCATGTTGCTCCCAGCAGACAGCCAGTGAGAGGGCACACAGCAGGCTCTGGTCTAAAATAAACTCATTTAATTGCACATTCATGTCTCGGATCATCTGTGGGGTAAGAAACCCACAAAATCCTAGCTAAATGGGTACATTCTAGGGTTGTAGTCTGGCTGTTGGTGAAGGGGTGGAGTTGAGTGCAGATCTGGCCCAGAATCTCCTCCAGTCTGCACCAGTGTGCCCCAGGCTCTTCAGGGCAGGGAGCTCAGACCTGTGGAGGGAGGAGTGGCATAGGCTGGTGGTCAGCCTGAAGGTATAGGAAGAGGGGCTGTCCCTCCTAGCCCCTGCCTGGGATAAGGGTCGCTTGCTCACCGTGGTTGTATTTACACTGCTTCAGGGCCTCACTAAAGCCCTCGCACAGGGACAGGTCACTCTGAGTGGTGGAGCAGTCCAGGAACTGCTTGATTTCATAGCCGCAGGGCCCCATCTGCAGGGGCTGGGAGGCAGCGCGGGCAGGGACCTGCGGTGGCACAGGAGGCAGCAAGGTCAGTTCAAGGTGGGTACTAAGAAGAGGGTTCCAAAGCTGGGTGCCACCTGCCCCTCCCCACAACCCCAGCCTGGGAGCCCCGAGGGTCCAGGCAGGACCAGCAGATTCAGCTGCTCCATCTCTTAAACAGGGTGAGCCCCAGAGCCCTCTCAAAGCCACTCAGCTTATGTTAGAGAGCATCTTCCTGCTGCCTTATAATGGGCATGTTGGGCAGGTGGGAGGAGTAGTAGAAGAATCTAGAAAAGCCCAGTCAGTGCTCTGCTAGTATTCTTGGAGTATGAGCCACATTCCTGTAAGTTCTAGCAACTTCCTGGCTCAGCCACACTGATCCTCATGACCCCTGACCCTGCCACTAAGTCTGCATTTGGTGCCCAGTGGGTGACAGGTCAGCGGGGAGCAGGCCCCAGAGTCACCAGCTACCCTTTGCTCTTGGGCCCAGGGACTACAGTGCATGATCTGAGAGTGGGGAAACAGAAGACTCAGGAATTTCGACATCCCTCCCCTCTACTAGGGTTAGGTGACCTTGGACAACCTTGGGCCGATCTCTGAGCCCTAAAGGCCTCGGTTTCCCCATCTCTAAAGGGCTGGTTGGCATCTGTCCCTGGTAGTCTAGGGACCTTGGCCTGCGGAGAGGACCTGGGAGAGCCTGCCTGTGAGTGGACAACAGTGGAGTGAGAAATAGGACTCTGGTTGGGCAAAGTCCTGGGCCCGAGGCAGCTCAGGAAATGCCCGGAAACAACTCGGTAGACATTCCAGCTGGACTCCCTGCTCCGTGGCCTTCAGAGAAGTCGGCCTCAGTTTCTCCAGAGTTCACTGCTCACCTGCTGAGCTGCAGGCTGGGCTGGCTCTGAGCTCCCCCCGCTGAAGGCTCCCGTCAGGGCGCTGCCTACGACGTGTCCCACGGCCGAGCCCACGGCTACCCCGGCAGCCGTGGACGCCATCTGCGCCATCAAGCCCGGCTG